CCCCCCGCCTCAGCCCCGTCCACTCCCAGCCCCTCTGCCCATCGCTCTTGCTGACCCACCTGAGCAGACCACGGAGGCCGAGTTTCCCGGGGCACAGGCGGGGGCGCCCAGGGGGCTCACTGGGCAATTCCACAAATAGGGCTCTGTCCCCACGCAGTGAAACCTGTCGGGCCAGAGGGGAGCGCTTCCGTGCCCAAAGTGACCTCCTCGGGGCGCGGCCAGGGCACTGCCACAGTTGAGCTGGTGGCAGAGGACGGTGGCGTCTGCCAGGTCCCAGTGGGCGGCACAGAGGGGTGCCCAGGCCCCCTGAACCTGGAGCTCCACGCGCCCCTCACAGCTGCTGCTGCCGTTGACCAGCCGGAACCCTAGGGTGGGGGTCGGGGGGTTGAGGAAAGAGGGTGTCAGCATTGCTCCGGACCCTGCAGACCCTTCCTTAATGCAGGCTTCGTTAAACACAGCCACTCCCACACTGGGGAAGGACAGCTGAGAGCAAGTAAACATCTTTGGGGAGTGACATCGCTGTCAATGGCAGATAGAGAACACCAAGATGGTGCACCCTCCACTGCAGTGATGGTTAACCTGGGGAACAGGCAAAATCAGCTCCTCCAGGAGCCTGACGTGCAAGCAGAAACAGGATCCCAATGAGCAGCGAAGTGGTGGAATGCTGCCTCCGTGCAGGCAGGGAGGGGAGACTGAGGCAGACCCCGCTCTCTGCACAGCTGCTGCTTCTACTGACCCACCAGGACCCCGGAGCAGCAGAGCATCACAGCCTTGCTCTCAGGCCCTGATCACTAGAACCTCAACCTACCCTGTGGAAGGGCGAGGGCTACGCCCTCCATCTTGCCCCGGATCCTCCATTTTTGGGCAGCAGCCATTAACCATGTGCTCAGCAAGGAGCTTCTTCCTGAGCCGGAACCCTAGGGTGGGGGAGGGGGGGTTTGAGGAAAGAGGGTGTCAGCATTGCTCCTGACCCTGCAGACCCTTCCTTAATGGAGGCTTTGTTCAACACAGCCATCCCGCACTGGGGGACAGCTGAGAGCAAGTAAACATCTTTGGGGAGTGACATCGCTGTCAATGGCAGATAGAGAACACCAAGATGGTGCACCCTCCACTGCAGTGATGGTTAACCTGGGGAACAGGCAAAATCAGCTCCTCCAGGAGCCTGACGTGCAAGCAGAAACAGGATCCCAATGAGCAGCGAAGTGGTGGGATGCTGCCTCCGTGCAGGCAGGGAGGGGACACTGAGGCAGACCCCGCTTTCTGCATGCTGCTGCTTCTACTGACCCGCCAGGACCCCGGAGCAGCAGAGCATCATGGCCGTGCTCTCAGGCCCCGATCACTAGAACCTCAACCTACCCTGCACCCTGGAATTGGGAAGGAAAGCCCGAGACATGGCAGAGGAGGGAACCCCCAAACTGCACCTCTCCTCTAAGTAATGTTTAGGCTTATTCGGGGACATGGAAGCATGCCACACACTGATAAATAGATTAGATCAGTTGAGCCTAGGAGAGTTCAGCAGACCTAATCCACAAGTCTGAGAGAAAGAAATAAATACTGGCTCTGCCAGTCACTATCATGTTGGATATATTTCTAATGCAGCAAAAAACATATATGCATAGCCCATGGACATAGACAATAGTGAGATGAAGGCCTGGGGGTTGTGGGGTATATGGGGTTAACAGGAGGAGAAAAGGGGACTCTGTAATACTTTCAACAATAAAGATGAATTTTGAAACACAAATAAATAATGTTTAGACTTGTAAAACTGTCATAACCAACTTTTTTGAAACTCTAGTATCTAATCAAAAACTTACAACAACTAAGAAACACTTAATGAAGCAAAAACTTGGCAAGTCTGGCTCTGGCAGGCAGGAAGGAATGCTAAGGCAGAGTTGAAAAAATGGCCTGCCCCAGCCTTGAAGCTATGCTCCAACAAAGAGCTAATATGCAAAGACTGGACGAATTTTATGTTTTATTTGTTTGTTTTGCATTTAAGAAAATCTCTGTCAAATTGCTATCACCACTAAGATAACAAAAAAATAAAATAAAATGAAAAGAGACCTCATTGGTCACACAGGAGAAAGAGTAGAGTCTTTACACAAAGAGTGTAAAAAGTCACTTAACAAACAACTATGACCCACAGCAATTAGCAGCAACAAACAGTGGGTGGGAGAATCTGATTTTTAAAGTAACCATACTATAGTAATTTAGCAATGTCTCCTTCATGCAAAGTATCAAGAAACTATGACACATTCACTTGGAAAAAAACACACAGAAACTGTCCCTGAAGAAACTAAATCATTACACTTACTAGAGAAAGACCTTACATAAGTGTCTTAAATGTGCTCAAAGAGCTGATGAAAACCAGTTTAATGATATCTCATGACATAGGGAATTTCAATAAAGAGATATCAATTATTTTAAAAGGAACTAAAGAGAATTTATTGACTTTAAAAATAAAATCAATGGAGCCTGGCTGGTGTGGCTCAGCGGTTGAGCATCTACCTATGAACCAGGAGGTTACCACTGATTCCGGGACAGAGCACATACCTGGGTTGTAGGCCTGATCCCCAGTGTGGGGCGTGAAGGAGGCAGCCAATCGACGTTTCTCTCTCATCAATGTTTCTATCTCTCTCTCCCTCTCCCTTCTCTCTAAAAAAATCAATAAAAACATATTTTTTAAAAACTAAACAAAGCATGAGCATCTCAGTTGATGCAGAAAAAGCATCTGACAAAATCCAACAGATTCTCATGATAAAAACACTAATGAACTAGGAAAAGAAGGGAACATTCCTCAGCATGATAAAGGGCGTTTATGAAAAACCCGCAGCTAACATACTCAATGGTGAGAAGCTGAAAACTACCCCCCCGCCTCCCCCTCCCCTCAAATCAGCACTCCCTGCTCCACTCCCTCTCACCACTGCTGTTCCACATGATCTTGAAAGTTCCAGCCAGAACAATTAGGCAAGAAAAGACGTAAAAGGCATTCAGGTTGGAGAGGAGGAATAAACCTATCTGCTGAGGTTCATAGTGATCAGGGCCTGAAAGACATGATCTATACAGAAAATCCTACAGACTCCACATTGAACGATTAAAGCTAATACATTCAGGGAAGTTGAGGGCACAGGATCAACACACAAACTTTAGTTGTATTGGCTATATACTGGCAACAAACAATCCGAAAGGAAAATAAGAGACAATTCCCCTTACAATCACATAAAAACTTACTTTCCCCTGAGCACCTGAGCCCAGCGTCCTGGCCGTGCCCACACTGGTGCCCAGGTGCCCGAGGGCAGTGGAACAGCAGGGACTCGTTGCCTGCACAGCGGAAGGCCTCCGTCCACACGGACCCAGAGCCCTGGCCGAAGTGTGCGCCCGGGAGTGTGGACGCGGCCATGCCACACTGCAGCTCCCGACACACCACGTGGGCTGTGGCCTGGTCCAGGTCCTCGTCGCAGACAGTGCCCCAGGTCAGGCCACGCCTCACCTCCAGGCGCCCAGCACAGGGGTGCTCTCCGCCCACCAGCCGGGCCTCAGTGTGTCCTGGGGGCAGACACTGGGCTGAAACAGCGCCTCAGGGGCAGGGCAGGAGCTTTGCAGGCCTTCCCGCCCTCCAGTCCCATGGGGAGGAAGGACAGGAGGACCAGAACCACCTGGCTGGGCCCAGCCCTGAGGGGCACCGGGGTGCGTGGGTCCTGCAGGCGGGAGGACCCTTCCATCCCTCGGCATCTCACTCCTATTCCGACAGCAAACATTCATTTCCCACCCCCTGGGGCTCCACCAAGCCGGGGTAAGTGAGCACAGCCCCCATGCCCATGCACCCGAAGGGCCCAGGGCTCCCATGTCTGCCCCCCCCCCCCCCACACACACACCCTCCCCTGACTTGGACTCTGTCTGGCCAGCACTTTAGTCACCTGGTCAGTTTAAACCCCAGCACTAGCTGCACCCAGTACCTCCCAGGGCAGGGATGCAGGCTGGTGGCAGGGCGTGGACAATCCCCCACCCCCCACCCCGCCTCTCTAGTCAGTGGATGTCCCCTTCAGTCCCCGGAACACAGCTATGAAAGGATGCCTCCCTCACAGACCGCGCGTCCTTACCTGAACACACGACCGGCACATCTGTCGGCAGGTTGCACTGGTCCTGAACGTTCAGATTGAACCTGCAGTTGAAGATGCTGGACTCTGTTCCCCGGCAGGTCACGACCTTAGGTCCCCAGCCCCCAGAGCCCCCGGTGAGGTGGGGTCTGGACGCCTGGAGCACCGGGCCACACCCCAGACTCCTGCAGAAGACACTCGCCTCCTCCACGTGCAAACCGCACGTCATACCGGAGCTTCCAGGCAATCTGATCTCAAAGGTCCCCGCGCAGGGGCTGCCTCCGCCGCTGAGCCCCACTTTCGCCAGCTTCCCACCTGCAGAGGCACAGGAGCCCGCCTGCTGCTCACCTGAGCCCCACCGGCCTGGGGCGCGCACCCCACTCTGCACACAGTGGCTCCCGGACAGAGGGTTTGGCCTTCGGGGGAGGCAGAGCCTTGGGTTCCTCTGCAGAGGCTCTTCTTTCCCGCCCAGGATCCCTCAGGGGGGCGGCTGCTCCCCCTCCTGCTGCCCGAGGCCTCCAACAGGGACGGCCGGACTGAGCTCCAAGCACTCCAGCTTCTGGGACTTGGGCGCCCTGGGAGCCCCGCCAGAGCAGAGGGGCCAGTGGGAGAGGGAAACAGGCTCCCTTTACTCTCGTGTGGTCCCCCTGGGGCCCAATGCTTGACCATTGGCGGGAGGAGGCAAATGAACCCCGAAAGGGCTGCCCTGGGTGTGCAACCCGCAGCTGGGAAGCACAGTGCTCCCCACCTGGGCCGTCCCGGGCCCTGCTCGTGTGGGGCCAGGACAATGCCATGAGGGCCTGAGGGTCACAGTCCTGGGTCCTGGGCGTCCGACATGCCCCCTCCTCACCAGGGCCTCCTACCTGTGCAGTGTACCGCGCCGATGCACTCACACGCGCAGCCCTCCGGCTTCTCCCACGACCCCGGGGCGCAGTCCCAGAGCGAGGCCTCCGAGCCCTGGCACCTCACGCCCTGCAGCAAGGAGGGCTGCCTCTCCTGGGGCCACATCACGTATGTGGGCGCCACGTGGGCCCTGCCGCAGTCCAGCTGCCTGCAGACGACCGCAGCCTCCTGCAGGCCCCAGCGGTCCCCACACACCGGGCCGCGCAGGCCGCCGAGCTGGACCCGCACCAGGCCCTCACAGCGGTTCCCGCCTCTCAGCAGGGCCACGGAGTCCGCCGCGGGGCCTTGGGACAGAACACAGGGAGGTGGACATCATCGTGCGTGGCCCGCTCGAGAACTTTTTGTCCAGAATTTTCAAAAATTTGAAATCGAATTTTCGCCTTCCCTCCTAATCTGTACCTTTAACTTCAATTTTCGCGTTTGCTCACGCTCTGTGTAGATGACATTTACGAAAGAAAATGGTAACAAAAAGGAATGGCTAAGGACCACTTCCTGTGGCTTTTCCCACGTGCACAGGTCATCATCGCTCACCTGCAAAGGGCTGAGACAGCCCCCCTCCCCCAGGCCCTGGCCGAGCTCCCGGGATGCACACACCATGCAACAGTGTCCCCTCCCTTGACAGACCGTCCTCCGAGCCCCCAGCCCTCAGGACGGCAGCACTCACCCGCAGGGAGGGTCCAGCAGGCCAGGAGGAGGGGCCACAGCCGCAGAGGGGACGATGCCATTCCTGGGCACCTCTGTTGCTGAGCCCCCTCAGGCCCGGGAGGTGTGCTCGGCTCCGGTGCAGGCGGTGGACTCCAGCTCAGCGCTGAGCCGTCTGAGAAGGAAGCCCGTGAGCCCCGCCCGCCTCCCCCGTATCAGTGTCATCATCTGTCACGTGGAGCAGAGGCTCAGCCACCAGGCCTGAGCCCAGGCAGCCCCGCAGCACGTGGCGAGGCCGGGGCTGGACTTCCTGCAGGGCCAGGTGTGAGATGGGGGGCCGAGCGACCACCTTGGAGCCAGGAGCCGGCACCGTGGGAGACGCACCTTTCTCTGCCTCACACAAAAGGCGTGTTGATGAACACGGATCGTTCAACGTGTCATCAGGACCCAGCAATTGGACCAAAGCCAGCAGGAACGTGCGTGACCTGCGACCGGCAGCAGGAAGGGAGGCAGACACCTGTCTGCCAGGAGGGAGTCCTGGAAGAGCAGCCTCGCGTCCAAACGGAGGAACAGCACTCACGGCAGACACGTAGGGAGGAGGCTGGGAAGCCCTTTAACATGCCGGTTGGACGAGTGCATATGTTAGCGCATGTTTCAGGTGGGAAACACACAGGAAGCACGAATGTGCACCCGATGCATCGCTGTAGCTCATGCTTATGTCTGTGCCTCTGTTCAAAGAAAAGTTCTCAAAGGATACAAACCAAGGAGAGTGGATGCATTCATTTCGGAGAGAATCATGGTTTTCATTTTCTTTTTGTTTATTTTATTGTGCATGGTTGTGTGTGTGGGGGGGGAGGGCAGTTCATTTTCTTTCTTGGTTCCATGAGTTTTAAAATTTATAACCATGCCCTGGCCAATTTGGCTCAGTGGATAGAGTGTTGGCCTGCGGACTGAAGGGTCCCAGGTTCCATTCCGGTCAAGGGCACATGCCTGGGTCACAGGTTCGATCCCCACTAAGGGGCATGCAGGAGGCAGCTGATCCTCTCTCATCAATGATTCTCTCTCATCAATGATGTTTCTATCTCTTGCCCTCTCCCTTCCTCTCTGAAATCAATAAAGAGATATTTAAAAAAATTATAATCATGTGTATTATTTTCTAACCAGAATATCATCAGTGAAAGTCACTTTCCAAAAGATTTGCCAGAGAAGCAGTTTAAGAGAGGGCAGCTCGTCCTCCTCCCCTTCCCGAGACGGAGGAGGACCCTGTGGGCAGGACCCTCTGTGCTGAGGCTCCGCCCCTCCCACACCGCAGCCTGGCCATGCACTTAGCCCAGCTCCCAGCTCGGACCTGAGGAACACCCAGCATGCACCGCGAGCCAGGCTGGCCACCTCTTGAGGCCGGAGGGAGGCTCCTGTGTGTGTGCACAGGGGTGCAGGGTGAGCTCAAACATCCAGGACACTCCTTCTTGTCCCCCAAGGCTCTGTCAGGAGCTGTTCCTGCCACATTCCCAGGGCCTGGCAACTAGCCTTCCTCACCCACTTCACCCCAGAGGCCCCGTCCAACCTCTGTGGACATCACCCCATCTCCTTCACCTGGCTTCCTGTCCAGAAGGGACTGACTTTCATCGTCTGCAGCATAGTGGTCCTGGAGACCACAAGCTGTGCCTCTCTCACAGCCCAGGGGGTGGGCACAGGGGGAGGACTGGGGGTGGGTGGCAGTGCTCAGAGAGAACCCCCAGCCGGCTGGCCAGACCCTCAAGGGAACCCTGAGAGGTGGGCGGTAATCGCTGCCATCACTGGGAGACCCTATAGATGAGGGACTCACAGGATGATTAAACCTGGTCCTTCCCAAGACATTCACGTGGGAGAGTGAGTCAGCAGAGGTCAGATATGTGGTCATGTGTGAACCTATCCCAGACCCACACAGGGAAGAGGACACAGAGAAACACTTCCCACAGAGGGTGTGTGAGGTGTGGTCAGAGAGGTGTGGTCACAAAGGGCTTGGTGAGTCATCAGGGCAGGACAGCTCTGGGTGCTGGGGACCCTGGCACAGCACCTGAGCCAGGGGGAGGGCTGTCTGCAGGCGAGAGTAGAGTGGCCAGGAGCTGGTTCACAGGGAGCCCACCCCACACCCTGTAGAACCTTCGGGCAAAAGGCTGTGGGTGAGGAGAGTTGAAAACACTCAGAGCCCATATCAGACCAGAGCGAGGCAGAGGGTTGGGGGGTGGAAAACAGAACCTGGCCACGGTGGATGTCTGGGGAATGCTCTGAGGTGAACGAATGGATGGATGCATGCGTTCAAAGGGAGTTTAATGGCATCTTTTTTAGAAATGAGGAACATGAGAGCCCCCAGGAGTCTTGCTGGTGTCCCCGATGGCCAGCTCCTGGGCATCACATCCTGAAGCCGGGGCCACCGCGGTTTTCCGTCCCAGCCTGCACTCTGGGGCCCGGAGGGTGCAGAGTCCACCTGCACTTAAGGGGAGAGACACGCATGGTGTTCTCAGCGATTCCGCGGAGCCTCCAGGACGTCTGGGCCCTGGTTGGTCATTGCACCTCAAAGCCAGAGGGGCAGACAAGGATGGACAGTGAGTGGGGGTGAGAGTAAAGCGGTGCTCACACGTGTCTCCTCCCACCATCTGCTCCCCCTGAAGCTGGCTGGGAACAGGGTTCTAGAAGGACTCTGTGCACAGCCATGAAAAGAAGCCCAAATAAAAATCTAGGGCCCTCCCTAAACGCCACGTCTGCTCATAAGATTCCAGGGTAACAGCAACTCTGAAGGGACAGCCGCGTATCAAAGCCCAAGCCGGACAGCAGTGAGGGTTACAGACACACACAGAGGGGGCTCCTGGGATCTTTAAATGTAGGCGCTGGCCAGAGCAGAGCCGTGGACATAGGAGCAGTACAGCAGCACAAGCACAGCGGATGCCGCGGAGCACAGGTGCACACCCACGGAGCTCAGGGCCGTCCCCTCCTCCGGCTCCTCCTCCGGCTCCTCCTCCTGCTCCTCCTCCAGTTCCTCAGGGCCTGGCTCCGGCTCCCAGGCATCGTCATAGTCCTCTTCCGGCACCAGGTCCTGGGGCACACTGGACCCTTCAACCTTCTCCCCCATGGGGACAGCTCCGATGTCCTCATAAACAACTTCCGAGGGCCGAGTCCCCAGCATTCCAAAACCTGCAAAGGCCACACCCAAACCTGCAGTCCTGACACTGCTGCTGTCTAAGGCCACAGCTGCCGGCCCCCCGCAGGGTGGGACCCTCGACCCCTCAGCTCCTCCTGCCTCAGGAGCACAAGGAACACACACTTCTGTGGGCACCCAAGACCAGAGAGCTCCCCAGCGATTCAGGTGACACAGGAATGGGGAACCCTTGAGCCTGTCCCACCCCAGGCAGCCCTAGGACTACGAATCTTCTCACCCAGCTCCTCTCAGAAGCAGAGCAGAGCCCAGCTCCCCCTGTCCCCGACAAGTCATGGGTCACTGACAAGTCGTGGGTCACTGACAAGTCATCACAGGGGAGATCGAGTGACACCCAGCGTGCAGGGCAGTGACCAGGACAGAGAGGGCCTGCAATAGGCTGGGATCGCAGAGTGTGCCCCCAGCCCTCCAGCCCCAGGCCCTGCCTACCGCCTACCCCTGCAGGTTCCTCTGCGGTACCACTGCACCCCCAGGATCAGGGAGACGCAGCCCAGGAGGGTGCCCAGAACGAAGCAGAAGATCATGGGCAGGGTCCCAGCCTTGAGGGAAGGCAGTGGGGCCAAGGCAGGGCCTGTAGGGACAGTGAGAGGTGGGTCTTCCCTGAGCGCTTGCACTGCCTGGGGAATTGTGACCTCCGGCCTGGACCACCTGGGGGGGGGAGGGGCATCCAGAGGAGAGATGGGCCTCGCCCGGCTCCTTGGCCCTGAGGGGGTCACACAGCCCAGGGCCAAGGGGGAGGGCGCAGAAGGGCAGCTCCTACGGTCCTGACAGCCACTGCCCTCACCTGTGCTTTGGACATAGCCACGTTTCTAAGAGGCCACAGCCACATTTCTAAGAGGCCACAGCCACGTTTCTAAGAGGCCACAGCCACGAGGGCCAAAACCTCCAGTTGGCAAGGGAAAGACCCCAGAAGTAGCTGGGGCAGGGCCCAGGCCTGCTGTCCCTCCTCACAGCTCTCCACCCGGCTGGCGCAAGGACGGGCAGCCGTGTTCCTCCAACCACAGGGCGTCTCCGGCACTGCGGCCCTGCCCCTGATGACCTCAGCACCCCCAGACTGCAACACAGGTGTCCACAGGAGACTCCAGGGCGCCCCTCCTTGCAACCCCATTGCAAGCTCCTCTGGGTCAGGGTCAGACCGGAGGGTGTGGATTGAGGCCTGAGGAAGAGCACACCTACCTGATGCTGGTGGGAGGACCGTGGTCCCTCTGTCACCTGCAGGAGAAACGGGCCAGACCTTGGGGCGAGTAAGAAGAGGCGGCCACAGCCCTGAGCAGCCCAGGCCCTCTGAGCAGTGCCCCAGCCCCACTCAGCCTGAGCCTGTCATGTCTTTGAACCCCCACAGAGGCAGCCTGTGCCCCACCCCTCAGAGGGACCTAGCACAGGGGCAGCCTCGGGGCCCTGGGAGCACCCACAGTGGGGGGACACGCCAGAGGAGCTCTCCTGATACCCCCTTCCCAGCCCCTAACTACCCGCCCCCCAGCCTCCTGCCCACTCACGGGAGCAGCGCACGCCCGCATCCTCCTTGTGCCCGCAGTCTGCATGTCCCCAAGGCTCCGCTGGGCAGCCCCACAGGGATGCCTCGCTGCCCCGGCACCCCCCCTCGTCCAGCCACACAGGCCCTGAGCCTGGACCAAAGGCGGCCCCGGCCAGGGCGCTGATGGCCCTGCCACAGCCCAGTTGGCGGCACACGACCTCCGCGTCCGCCAGGTCCCAGGAATCGTCGCACACGGTGCCCCAGGAGCCCTCGTGCCAGAGCTCCACGCGGCCGGAACAGCTGTCCTCGCCCCCGCTCACGCGCACCGAGCCTTCCTCTGGAAAAGGGGACTGTGGTCACTGCAGGGCGGGGCTGGGGTGAGGAGGGGCAGGCAGAGGGGCAGGGCAGTACCTGGGCAGCTGCGGGTGGCTGAGCAGTCGAGGGTCTCCCCGGGGTCCTGCGTCGTTTTCGCTGACAATCCTATTGGATTAAACAGGGGCCGTCCCAGAGTAAATGCCCTGAGAAGCTTCGGAATGAAGTCTGTGAAGCCCAAGCGATGCCCGGGCCCGCAGCCATGGGTCAGTGGCAGCCCCTGAGGGTGCCCAGACCCGCCAGAGCCCGCCAGGGGCCCACCTGTACAGGTGATCCAGATCTCCTCTCCATGGGCACAGGAGCGCGGATGCCACGGGGCTGAGGGGCACTGCCACAGCGTAGAGTTTTGCAGCCTGCGGCACTCAATGTTGTCCACCCAGGAGACACCCAGGCCAGTGGGGACGGGCCTGTTCTCCAGCCAGCCCTGCTCCCCACAGCCCAGCTGCTTGCAAATGATGGACAAGGAGTTGTCCTTCAGGGAGTTACCGCACACGGCGCCCCATGTGCCGTTGTAGAACACCTCCAGCCACCCAGCACAGTGCTGGGTGCCCCCGTGCAGCCTCAGGGCCACGGACTCTGCAAGACAAGAACAGTCAGGCCAGGGGAAGCTCTGAAGGAGGGGCCCCAGCACCGAGACCGATGCCGCTCAAGGCCATCGGACCAGAGAGGCCCTGGCATCGACCCCGCACCCCCACAGCCATCTCCCACCTAAGGAAGCAGCCAGCAGTTAAGCACAGGTCACCAGCGTGAAGCCCCAGTTATAATGTCTTAGCAGGTGTGCCAACTGATTGTCTAGAAACCCAACGTTGGAAATTATTTGAAATACAAAATAATATTTTTGCATAAGATGACCAATTTAGCAGTGACTATAAAAATTTTAAAAAAGAAAAAAAAGCCCTAGCCGGCTTGGCTCAGTGGATAGAGCATCGGCCTGTGGACTGAAGGGTTTCAGGTTCGATTCCGACCAAGGGCACATGCCTGGGTTGCGGGCTCAATCCCCAGTGGGGGGTGTGCAGGAGGCAGCTGGTCAATGATTCTCTCTCATCATTGATGTTTCTATCTCTCTCACCCTCTCCCTTCCTCTCTGAAATGAACAAAGAAATATAAAAAATAAAAAATAAAAAGAAAAAGAAAAAAGAAAAAGAAAAAGAAAAAAGGAATTAGCCCGGAGCACTGGGACACAGCACCAGTCCAGGCTGGCCAGGGTCCATGGACCGTCACAATACCATTGGCCAGTGTAATTCCAACAGGGGGACTAAATATTGCCACATATCAGAGTATTAGACAATCCTTTAAAATTGTTATGAGCGCCTATATACCTATATACCAGGATCAATGAAGAAAGTTGGGTATGAATTGCATGTGACAGTCATAACTAATTAAAATAGGCTTAGAGTAAACACGGGAAGGAAATACATCTGTGACACATTACAGAAGTGGTCACAGAGATCTGCCTGTGTCCACGCTCCTTGCAATGAATGAGTCTATTCCCTGCCCACCCAATCCGTCCTCCAGACTCTGGCCAACTGAGTGAGTGGGCAAGAGTGACCGTGCTGTTCCACGCCTGGGCCTCTTGCTGTGGAACCTGCTGCCAGGCTCGGTCCTATCAGAAACAGAGCGTTCCCCACCCCTGCCAAGCTGGTCTCCAGCGGCAGCAGCTGCCTGAGGAGTCCACCAGTCAGAGGAAGAACTGGAAGGACATGAAAAACACAATGACAGCCTGGCCAGCGTGGCTCAGTGGTTGAGCATTGACCTATGAACCAGGAGGTCAATGGTTTTATTCCCAGTCAAGGCACATGCCTGTGTTGCAGGCTTGGTCCCCAGTAGGGGGCGTGCAGAAGGCAGCTGATCGAAGATCTCTCTCATCATTGATGTCTCTATCTCGCTCTCCCTCTCCCTGTCTCTCTCTCTCTGAAATAATAATTTTAAAAAAAGAAACAGAATGATTAAAATAGATGCAATCTTCTAAACATAGTTTAGGAAAACTTTCCTAAAGCAAAATAGGAACCAGAAGCAATAAGAAGAGATCACACTTGGACACCCAACCCCTCCCCAGGCGTCTCCAGGCTCACGCCCCCAGTCAGTGGCAAAATTCTGTCCCTCAACCACCATCACAGCCAGACAAGAACCCCATAGAGAGCCTCAGATGTGTGTGAGCTAAAAACATTAAAGATACTTTAGAAAAAGTCCTGCAGCCCATTAAATACACACCCGAAGACGCTGGCACAGGGGACTCGGACGGAGTGTGAGGTGACCTTCTATGAGGGGGGAAGCCGCAGGCATTGCAGTTCCAGGACCACCGGCACCACAGAAGCAGGCGCCCCTCTCCGCCCCCACCCCAGGCCCCACCCGCCAACAGGGAAAGGTGTTGGTCCCGGAGCCGGAGGACACCGAGCATCCACTGTGGAGTTCTCCTTGCGGGAAGAGCGGAGGCCCTGGACACAGGAGCGAGCCCGCAAAGAGCCAGTGCGCGCTGTTACCACGAAGACGCCACGACCCTCAGATACCCGCTGCCCAGAGAGAACTCAGCTCCCGGGACTGACCTGAGCAGAAGACGCCGGCGTCCTCCTTGTGCCCACAGTCGTGCTGGCCCCAGCCCCCCGACGGGCACTGCCACAGCTCAGACTCTTTG